CTGCAAAGATGCGCCCGCCACGTGCACACCGCTGCACGCACCCCCACCAAAATTTAATACGACAAACAGATGCACGCGTCCGACTTAAGTCCAAAATTTCACCCCCGTAGCCCGCACCGTTCCGGAGCAATAGCCCGCCAAGCGTGACTGACGCGTTACATACATACATACATACATACATACATACGTACAGACATTTTGATTTTTATATATGTGAATAGATTTTTGCAAACTATGTAAAATCGGGTTTCACTAAACTTCATCACCAGCGGCACCTCCGATAAAAAGAGTTGGTAAATAAACTTGTAAACAATAAAATTGTTTTTAATCAAGAACTTTAACATGTTACAGATATTGCTTCTTTTTATCAAACTATGTCTAGTTTTCATGTCAGAAATTGCAGGAATAAATTAAAAATAATGATGCTGTTTCTGAGTGGTATAAATGATAGTTCACAATATCTTATTATTGAAAGAAAATAACACGTAAAACATTTGACAGCAGAAGACCGTTGAATGCAATTATGGCGCGCCAATGACAAAACATGACGATATTTGTTTATTGCTCGTAGCTGGTTCGTATGGAATGTGCTAAGTGAAAAAGAGCATATAATGACTCAGCATATCATATTTGTTTTAAATAATTGATTGCTTTGCATCATTGCACAAAAAGTATCAAAATTCCGAACGTCAGGACCACTGGAATTTCAGGTTTGTAATGGGAGAGCACAGAGCAAAGCTTTCAATAATGGCCACCAGGTGGCAGCAAGGGCGTTACTGCCGATCCATTTGCTGTCACGGCCGGGGCCGGGTATCACAGTGCGCTGCCAACGCTGTTGGCGCTTTTGGTTTCATACTTGTTGCACACTACCATAGCGTTGGAGATATAGGGGTAGTGTGTGACAAGCATGAAATCAAGGCAACGCACTATGGTTGGAAACGGCCTCACGGATGGCCGGGGGTCAACGCGAAAAAATGTTTTGCCCATAACTTGTTAATGCGTAGACCGACTGCGATGAAACTTTGCATAGGTATACCAGTGTCTTTCGTGCATCATACAGTAACTCAGAAATGACGAGGTCACGTCACGTCACGCGTGTGTGACGTCATCATTGCAAGTATGTCATAAGTCGCCTATGTCTTTCGTTATGTTATCGATATCGCGAGGCATTTTGAACATGTTTTGAATACTGCTATTACTGAATGGATATTGTTGTTATGCTTTAGGGCGAGAAATATCAACGTAGTGACGCACAGTGTCTTACTATTGGTCATAAAGGGTCAAAAATTTGGAGAAAGAGTATTTATGATTTTTTTTTTAGATTGGGCAAAAAAGTAAGAAATAAAATGACGATCAAATGACAAAACATGCGTCAGATTAACCCGGCAGTTGCTGGGGTATTTCCCCATCCGCCGTTTGCCGGGGGGGGGGGGGCGTTCAACGCCCCCAGCCGATTACTCGCGAACAAATAGGCGCAGCGAAACGCACGAGGCGCGGCAAACGAAAGAAGAACGCGACGAGACGATTCACATGAATACTTTAAAGCTGAATTTCGAGGTCACAGGTCGGGTCAAGGTCAGGTCAAACACTTGAAATCGAGCTTTCAGATGGACTTTAGAACCTCGCAATCGGTGCCTCGCGTTTCGCGTTTCGATTATATCGTCATCAGTTGGTCCTAAATAAATTCAGTCATCAGTTGGTCCTAAGCAATCTGTCACAACTGTCACAACTGTCACAACCCTTCATATAAGTGCTAGAAGAGTGTCAGATCAATGTAGGGGTCAGTCAAGCATAGGCCACTGGCCAGGGTCAAAGTCAGGTCAATCAGGTAAGCACATAACCCCGAAAATTAAAACTGGTACCTATTCGCAGCCCATGCATGACACATGTTTTATGGGTACTTTTGGGCGTAGAACACGATGGTGACATTCATTTTATCATACGAGTACGTGGCTGGTTGAAAAAAGATCAATTTCAGAAATGCATGCGTCATGGTCGTGAAGTAGTCACGAGAAATTGCCAACATTCAGTTCAAGATTTTGGAAAATGTAGAACGATGATCAAAAACCATAGATAGCCATTTGATTTGCCATGGTATTGGCAGTGTAATGGAGTTTACAGCATGTCTGTATGTCTGTTCTGTCAGTGGATATCCATATCCATACTCCAGGATATCCATACACGTTTGCACGATATTCATACTCCAGGTGCAGGGGCGAGCAGTTACTTCTTACGAGGGGTGCGGAGTCGAAGTCAGAGTCGGAGTCAGAGTCGGAGTCGGATTCAGAGTCGCCCAGAGTCGTGGCAACGAGCCAGGAGTCGGAGTCGGAGTCGGGGTCGGTCAGGAGCCTGCAGTGGAAGTCGGAGTCGGTCCGAATCGGAACAGCTCCATCGCGACTCCGAAAGAGTCGCCCGGAGTCATGGCAACGAGTCAGGAGTCGGAGTCGTAGTCGGAGTCGGATTTGGCGCCACCACGACTCCGCAACCTTGCTTCTTACCATCATTTATAAGGATAAGCGATTGCAAGACTGACGAGCCGACCTGGTGCTAACGAAGCGACGGGTAGGTACGCCTCGGGAGATGAAGCTTCACGGACGATTTTGCGCACAAGTGCGCAGTCTGCTTTTACGTTCCCCTTACGCAGAATTGAACAGAGATTTATTCTGCCAAAAAGCTCAATGGAGGTCGATGGAGAACTTTTTGTATGTCCAATGAAACATAAACGCAATTTTGCAAATATTGCTGTGGTGACACTGCAAACAGAATGCAATGCCGTTCCTGATTTTGAACACGCATGGGAAAAAGAGTCACTCCACTCGATAGCCAACATAACAAGGATTATTTTGATATATAATAATCCAGTTTTACAACGTCATGGAGGTACTCCACATGCTATCACCAGCGCGGTTGTTTAAACCTTTGACGGCGCACCAAAAAAGTCACTGTCAGAAACTCCCGATTCCACGTACAATAATGGAGACTAAATGCGCAACTAAATAATTTTTCTGCCCAATTCAAAACATTTCATCAATTTCCAACAGAATGACACCCCAAATATACATATATTCCGAAATTGCCCACGGCCATCCGTGAGGCCGTTTCCAACCATAGTGCAACGCTCCGTGGAACACGGCCCGGGCTGCGTCCGCCCGGGTCGCCCGCGGTCACCCAAGTCCCAGCAATTATCGCGCCTCAGGCTGATATGCAACTGGCTGCTGCTGATGTCCAGCTGCTGGCAGACCAGCTTCAGGCTCATGCCGCCATGCCATCAAATGAACCCAAAGCTTTCAATCATTTGATAGAAAACTACCAAATGAACCCTTCCGTAACTCGACTCTTACTGAGCAAGAGTCACATCGCAAGGTCAGGTCAATGCCGAGGCGAGAGCCGAAACCAGAGGCACGCATTCATCCAATATTCTCGCTTCTAACGTCAGAAAAGAAACTATGCGAACAGATATGGCGAAAAATAGATGTGCGGATAATTTCGTTACACCCTGTAGGAGTTCCTTTACAGGGTGTCTCAAAAGTTCGTTCACACATTTCCCATGCCAATAAAGCATATAAGAACCAGCCAAAAGTATAAGGTTTTGGTGTCTGTGTGTACACTAGACAAATATGCATGCTTTGACAACTGATTAAGAAGGTTGGAAACCAACCCCTTTGCTGTATCTCCAAAAATATTTGCCCATACCGATTTTTGTTGCTCCGTCAGCTGCCGGAGGCTGATAAAAGGTTACCAGCTTTCAAGCTCTTGCAGGGGAATCACCTGCAGTTTCTGCGTCGGATTTAGTTTTGACTAGCTCCCCGGCAACATCTGATTTTCCCTGAAAGCCGACAGCTTGCATCGACACCATTCTTGAGTATTTTGTAGGCATTCTCTGGCGCTAACTCCTTCATGAATGACTGGCGCCGACATCCCAAGCGCCATTTTCCTTTTCAAAACGACCCCAGTCCTGAACAAACGGGAAGTGCCAGGAGTAAATTTTTCGCATCATATGGTAGCAGAACGTGTCGGACGTCTGTTTCTCAGACACATTGTGCAAATTTGGCAAATTCCAAGCGCTCGTCATTCCCCATGCCAAGACCTTCGCTCGGTTGCGGAATGTTTTCCTCGGGAGATGTTCTGCTTTGTAAACGGCCCAAACCTGTCCATCGTGTGGTTTTATCGGGATTTTGTGTTTAAAAGAAAATTATTCGCTGCAGACCTGCCTCTTGAAACTTCGTTAGATAAAATTTTACAATAACTGACACTTTTGGAGGGTCAGGTGTCCTTGGCATTGACGATTTTTGTGTTATTGTCCCCCAAAATTATCGTTATAGATATTATAAACAATTTTAAATTATAATTTGTCTTTATTTTACGATGACCTGCACTTTTTGAAAATGGGGAACCTCTGTCTGTGACCTTCTTGCCAGTTTTCAATAGTTATGACCGCATTTTCAGCTGCTTTCCGGAACACGAGTCTGCTGTCGTACGAGGGTCGTTCAAAACGCTGTTAGTCTCGCATGGTTTCGTCCTTCAAAAATTTTAGCCACCGTTTTTATGAGATGATCATCATGTTGCACTCATCCTCGCCGACACTTAGCCATGTGTCATTTCCGACTTAACCATTCCCATTACTCCTGAAACAGAGAGTTTCACAGCATACCCGACTTTGCAACCTACATTTTCGTGCCTGACCCATGGTCAGAGGTGAACCCTTTTTGTGAGCTCATGAAGGGTCGAATGCACTTGAAAACAATGAGACTGCTTGAGGAAGGTTGTCACCAATGCCCATGCAAAATTTCGACTGTTAATTTCATGTTGATTCAGAATTATTGACAAAAAAGCATGGCTGGTACCTGTGAACGAACTTTTGAGACACCCTGTAGACCATGCCCGTATCCTGTAACCAGCTGCAGACAGTACTCGTTCGTTTCTATTCATGTCAATGAACTCATGACTTATGAGCGTCACTGCGCGATGGCAATACAACACATAGCTTTTGAAGCAGTGTATGATAGTCAACAGCGGTGTATTGAACTGACATCGAAACATAGCAGAGTACCTACTAGCTAAACCACTTCGACAAGGCAAGCTCCAAAACTCAAAAGCATTCAATATCACCGATTACCAAATAACATACAGCTTTCAAGCAATGCACTGTGCACCAGCATACACATGTAGCCCTCCAATGCACCATTCACAAATGTAGGCATGTACAATAAACATGAGACGGTGAAGCTCAGTCTGCTAATGCTAACGTCCCAGAGCGCGCACATCCCCGCCACCTGCATGAGCGATTTCTGCAGGCTACAGACGAGACACACAGAACGGAATATGTCTGAAAGAACAGGTACGTAACCGGCATCGATTTGCCCCCTAAGAAACGAGTAAGTCTTGATCAGACCAGTCATACGCCCGACATATGTAGATATGATCCCTCGTGATAGCGAGCGACTGAGTGCGTTCGGCGAGAGAGAGCTGGGACTTCACTTTAAGGAACGCTGGTGTTATGACACGTACATCACGACAGGCTAACAGATCTTGGACATTGAACCCTGTCTGGTGCTGAGCTGATATTGACAGCACCATCAGATAGCCCCGCAGTGGTGCAGCACACCCCTTCAGTGTCGCACTCCTCATAAGCAGCAATGTCAGGTGGAGGTGGAGCACTCTTCTCCATTTCCTCTGCCTGTTGAGCCCATTCTTGTACCTACCTGTGAAAAAAATAAAATTTGTATTAACTGCTTCATACATACTGAATACAGCCTGACAAGGCATGAGATAGACCATTATCAGAAACTTTATGCACATCTTTTATTACCACTGGTTGGTTCTGAGCAGTTAACACCTGCCAAAAGGTGAAAACACTTAAGATTGAACATACAATTTGCCCTGTTAAGTATACTTTTGTGACTTGTCTTTGAGTTGTGGGATAAAAAAACCTTTCAAAAAACAAACTGAGAAGTGATCCCCTTACATCTGCCATCCAAATCACAAAACAGAGAATCTCCTATCCTGTCTGGATCTGACAGCGTCTGCCCATTGCTCAAATGTCAATAACGATAAACAGCTAGGTATAGATAAATAGTGCCACAAGGCACAAACCTATTCATCTTTCAGCCGGTCCCGTAGCTCAGTTGGTTAGAGCGTTGGACTCCGCGTGGTGAGAGCACGCGTCCCCGGTTATGACAGTCCGGGTTCGAAGCGCGACGGGCGCTCGACATTTATGGGCCTCCTGACAGGTATGGTTGCGGTTGGTGGCAGGCCGTAGCCAGGCGAAGTCAGCGAGGGGACCGGCCGTGCGCGGCTTTGTGCGCACGTTAACCCGCGCCCCACTGGGGTCTGCGTATAACACGCCCTACTGGGGGGGGCTATTCATAGCCCCCCCTCCTAACTCCGAAACTACTGGGCCGATCGTCAAAATTCAAACGGCGTCTGATAGCCCCGGAAAAACTGTCGAGCGAAACCTAATTTCATTGACCTCGAGGTCACCGATGACGTCACAGGTCAGGTCAAAGTAAAAATTATTAGCATTTTGACTTCTTCACGTTTTGGGCTCTGGCCGCCGTCTTACAAGTCAGATCAGGCTCATTTTTGGTTCACACACTCGTGAACAGATGCTCTAGATACTCTGAGGGTACCAAACTTGTACTTTGAGTTTCAGGTCAAGGTCAGGTCATCACAGGTCACGAAAATATTATATCATCCGTCGGTCACGTGACACATGTTTTATGGTCCATTTAGGCCAAACATTTCGAATTTGATGTCGTCTGTGTCATTCGAGGTCATTTTGAGTCAAATTTAGCTTAGGTCAGGTCACTTTCAGGTCAAAAAAGGTCAAATTTTGAAGTTAAAATTTTTCAACAAAAAAGGTGTCTATTCGATGCAGTTTGAGCTCACGAACACGATGATGCTATTTATATTGGCGTACGATGTCAAATTCGTGCTGAAAAATTGATTTGAAAAATTAATAATTGTTAATTTTTTGCAATAATGCGTATAACTTAGCCATTTTTGAAGATATTTAGCTAAAACTTGCTAGAGGTAGTCATAATGATGCGTTCTATCACATATATTCCGGTTTTTGCGAAAAGTCAAAAACTTTTTGAAAAAAATGTAAAAATATAAATTTTGAATTTTATTATATAAAATTTTCAAAATTTTTAAAAATTTCGAAAATCCGAGATAGCAGTTTGATAGCGCAGTCTATTCTGAGTCCTCTCATGCAAAGAAATTGGATCTAGCTTAAAAACTGAGCTCTTGGGAGCGATTGCCGTGGTTCAATGTTTTGCGTCGAAATCGGCCGAACATGACGTCACTCTGACGTCATTTCCGGCCGACCTATGGTAGGTACGAAGTTCAAATTTTGACACAAGGTGTCAAATTGATGCAGCCGAAGGTACTGAAAGTTTGGCGTCGATACCTCAAGCGGTTTGGAAGTTATTGCAGAAAAACGGGAGGGGGGGCTATAAATAGCCCCCCCCCAGTGGGGCGCGGGTTAAACTTTGGACTCCAAATTCTGCCATAGAATCGGAATTGCGCGATCGGAGGGTAGAGGGCAGGGTCATCGCAACAAGCTTCGCTTAGCGTGGCTCTGTCCTTGTGAATCCTTCCCATCAAAAGGTTCGGACTAAATTTATAAAAAAAATCTTATCTGCAGGTAAAGGACAGCATCTAACCTCTGTAGTTGTTTGCACTGACCAAGCTGTCCAACAGCTGGCCATGTTCCTTTTCCTTGCGCCTAGCCTGCCTACGAATTGCTGAAGCAGTTGGAGCTGGTGCTTTGCCCTGAGTAACAGATGGAATAACCCCCTTCTTCAGCCTATTCTGCTGTTGTCTGGCCCTTGACAATGCACGTCATTGTTTATAGCACTGTGAAGTGTGTTTTCTTGCCTTAAACTTTGATGGATCATGAAGTATACGTACCTCACCTATGATGTTGATGTGAGATGTCTACGAAGCATGCAATAATTTGTACAAATAAAGGTAGTTGTATAATTCTAAGATTAAATGATTGTTGACCTCTGAAGCATTTAGTACATGAATATTCCATGAAAAGCAGACCCATTTTTCGTTTGATACTTATGGTGGTAGCCGGTAGGTGACTTCCCAGTTCCCCGGGTGGCGAATGATAGGGTATATCTTAGATACAAAGCTGCGCATGACCATAAAAACTTACCGTAGGCAGTATATTCCAAAAAATCATCGTCGGTGAAATGCTTCCGACACACAATCAAGTGTTTGGTGGGATTAAATCCGTTGCAGCCTGAGCCAAGCCCTGAGCCATACCTACCTATCTTCCTCGGCCTCTTGTCGCGAGAAAATACAAACCCACCATTCTCCGAGCAGCCATAGACACAACACTGGGCCATTTTCTTCCAAATTTAGGTATTATGACACGTGTGACTCATTACTTCCTCAATATTTCACCTACTTTCACCGCACGACACGGCTCCGAACGGCACCGGCGCAAATTGAATCAGCAGGAACGCCTACAGTGACATCTGGCGGCCAAAGTTCCGTGTTATCTCCCATTACGATGTTTTCTTTCAAAGTTTCTGGTCTTCGTGAAACAGAAAGTTTGCGATTCCCGTGTTTTCTAGCAAACTTTTTCTTGTAAAAAAGTTTGCAAATTTTAAACTCAAAATTTATGCCCGAAGGTTTCGTGAAATCCAAATTTCAAATGTTGGTAATTATTTCTTTTAAACTCAAGTTTTTTCTTTGTAATTACACACTTTATTTGTTAGTGAAACAGGCCTCAGAGAAGAATTTTGGAGTGTCAAAATAAAAGTTAAACTTATATATTCAGTAGTTCATTTTTTCCAAAAAGGGTGGGAAATGGGGTTTAACATGGGCCAGACCCATTCCAAATGAGCCATGATTTTTAAATGTTTTACGAACTTAAATGCAAAATAAATTAAACATGGCCAATTTCTTATGAAATCATATACTAGTAAATCATAAAATACCTTACTTTTTCAAATAAAATGTAATAATCTTATGACCTTGAAGTCTAGTGATGTGTAAACATTGTCGCTAGACATTAACCGATTGATAATTGTATGATAATCGACAATTTTTTTCGCGATTCACGTGATGATACTTTGTCAGGTGAATTCTAAAATTTTGTTTTGTCCAGGCAATAAATCATAGGCCGATCTGAGAAAACTTTTTGAAGGTGGCAGTCTTCCTTTAACCCGCGCCCTGCTGGGGGGTGTTTGAACACCCCCTTGTGGTTTTTCGCAAGCGTATTTGGAAATTCCGACCTCGACGAGCATCTGTGGTAGAAAACCACCACTTTCGTAGGGGAAACTACTGCTGTCTGCTACCATTTGCACTGCATGTGTCGCTATAGTCGCGACATCTATGCAAACAAACCGCTTATAAACTGTTTACTGCGACATCTGTGTGCGCCGATTCTAGTTAGCGATTAGCTAGGGCACCAGGGTGGATCCATCCAGACTTTCGGTTTGGGGGTGGGGGGGGGGGAGACTCATGTCATGGCCGGCCCGATTCCCGGCAGTCAAAGTTGCTGAGCGGTGGGGGGGGGGGAGGAGGAAGGTCCAATATGATGCCACAAAAGACATGCCTCTTTACAGGGTTGCCAGTAGAGTTCTGCACGGCTGCAATTTTCCACAGCCTAGCCGCCCCACAGCCGTGGCTCCACAGCCACAGCCGCCCACAGCCGTGGCAAACTGTGGGCAGCCAGCCGTCAGCCGGCCGTGGATACTTTCAATGAAATGCAACCAAATAGTATATAATAAGTTGTTTTTAGTTGAAACATATAGCCAAAAGCACATTGCAATGGGCTATAGATTCTCAAGCTCATGAATCATCATAGGCTAAGTGGTTGTGTATCTGGCTTTAGGCCGAAGGCCTGAAGCCTGATGCGCATCGCATGCCTACACAAGCCCTTGCAAGGGGTTAAGAAAGATGGGTAGGTAGGTACCTACATCAACAGAAAACATAAACAACGAAGAACCAGAATAGAAGCACTAGCAGTGTAGACATCTAATGCCAAATCCTGAAGCATGGTTGTGGGACAGAACAACAGACCCTGATGCTTTTCATTATCAATGTTAGGTATGGAAAATGAAACTGAAGTTGATGGACTGTCAAACAGTGATTGTCTAGTCAAAACTCTTGCTTCTTTCTTACCTTGCATATTTTCTGGGGTGTGATATGCCAGGCTGCAGCGTTCTGAGCAAGTCTCCAACTAATTTGATATGCAAGGCATCAAAACACTAGGGAGCATCCAAGAAAGAAAAACATTCATTATTTTGATTTTTCCAAATAATGATCTTCGCTCAAATCCCCAAGGACGTGCGAGCCACAATTGCCTCTTTCAATCAAAAATTTTACTTGAGTTTTTAATGACGTCAAAAGCAAAAAAGTGGCAATAAATTGTTTTGTTTCACCATAAACAGCCATAAAAAATCATAATTAATAAATAATAATGCTATACACTTAAAAACTTGCTCTCAAACAAAGATCAATTATCAAATTTTTACATTTTTAGAAGAAGACGTCATTATATTAGTAAAGTCAACAGCTCGCGTAAGAAATATTGTGTTCAGGGTTTTCACCGTCATGTGAATTACGTGTTCAGGGTTTCCACCATCATGTGAATTAACCGTAAATAAGGTTCATACTCACTTATAATCTAATTCCATTGGCTTCGTTGATCAGCATTTTCTGTTAGCGGTCACTCACACGCCAGTTAGAACATAAAGCGCCAGTTTTATATTATGTAATTGGACTTGCCGAAAATCCAGAAATACATCTAGGAGTTATTTTAGATAATATTTTATGAAGCCTTTACCTGCCTTTACCTAGGCGTGATTTCTTTTTCTATTACCTGAAAGAATTATTCTGTTAGTTCAAAGAATTATTGAACGCTCGTCTTCAATAGCTGTAAGGTGCTCTCCTAATGACCAGGTGAGATTGAGATTGATTTGAGAGGGATGTGACAATGCAATATGTTGCATTTTCTGAAACTGTCAAGCTATTGATGATGAAGGAACAATTGGTACCTATAAATAGTATTCTGTACCAGAGTGCAAACTCTCCTACAGCAAATGGTAAAACCATTACAGGTTTTCAAAGGCTTCACCACTTTAAATATTGCTGGGCATCCTTTGCATGATTTTTACAGGCTAGACTGCTCATCAGAATGTAAGATAAAAGGATTTAAAATTTTATATTTGAGTACTTAAGATTGAGCTTGAAATCTCACAGCCGTGGCCACAGCCGTAGCCGTGTTCTTGGAGATATTTGCAGCCGCCCCGGCCCACAGCCGTGGGGCTGCAGCCAGCCGCGGCTGCAGCCGGCCGGTGCAGACCTCTAGAATGATAGGGTATATCTTAGATACAAAGCTGCGCATGACCATAAAAACTTACCGTAGGCAGTATATTCCAAAAAATCATCGTCGGTGAAATGCTTCCGACACACAATCAAGTGTTTGGTGGGATTAAATCCGTTGCAGCCTGAGCCAAGCCCTGAGCCATACCTACCTATCTTCCTCGGCCTCTTGTCGCGAGAAAATACAAACCCACCATTCTCCGAGCAGCCATAGACACAACACTGGGCCATTTTCTTCCAAATTTAGGTATTATGACACGTGTGACTCATTACTTCCTCAATATTTCACCTACTTTCACCGCACGACACGGCTCCGAACGGCACCGGCGCAAATTGAATCAGCAGGAACGCCTACAGTGACATCTGGCGGCCAAAGTTCCGTGTTATCTCCCATTACGATGTTTTCTTTCAAAGTTTCTGGTCTTCGTGAAACAGAAAGTTTGCGATTCCCGTGTTTTCTAGCAAACTTTTTCTTGTAAAAAAGTTTGCAAATTTTAAACTCAAAATTTATGCCCGAAGGTTTCGTGAAATCCAAATTTCAAATGTTGGTAATTATTTCTTTTAAACTCAAGTTTTTTCTTTGTAATTACACACTTTATTTGTTAGTGAAACAGGCCTCAGAGAAGAATTTTGGAGTGTCAAAATAAAAGTTAAACTTATATATTCAGTAGTTCATTTTTTCCAAAAAGGGTGGGAAATGGGGTTTAACATGGGCCAGACCCATTCCAAATGAGCCATGATTTTTAAATGTTTTACGAACTTAAATGCAAAATAAATTAAACATGGCCAATTTCTTATGAAATCATATACTAGTAAATCATAAAATACCTTACTTTTTCAAATAAAATGTAATAATCTTATGACCTTGAAGTCTAGTGATGTGTAAACATTGTCGCTAGACATTAACCGATTGATAATTGTATGATAATCGACAATTTTTTTCGCGATTCACGTGATGATACTTTGTCAGGTGAATTCTAAAATTTTGTTTTGTCCAGGCAATAAATCATAGGCCGATCTGAGAAAACTTTTTGAAGGTGGCAGTCTTCCTTTAACCCGCGCCCTGCTGGGGGGTGTTTGAACACCCCCTTGTGGTTTTTCGCAAGCGTATTTGGAAATTCCGACCTCGACGAGCATCTGTGGTAGAAAACCACCACTTTCGTAGGGGAAACTACTGCTGTCTGCTACCATTTGCACTGCATGTGTCGCTATAGTCGCGACATCTATGCAAACAAACCGCTTATAAACTGTTTACTGCGACATCTGTGTGCGCCGATTCTAGTTAGCGATTAGCTAGGGCACCAGGGTGGATCCATCCAGACTTTCGGTTTGGGGGTGGGGGGGGGGGGAGACTCATGTCATGGCCGGCCCGATTCCCGGCAGTCAAAGTTGCTGAGCGGTGGGGGGGGGGGAGGAGGAAGGTCCAATATGATGCCACAAAAGACATGCCTCTTTACAGGGTTGCCAGGGTGAATCAGGCTTTTAGCAGTGTGCCTCCTGAGACGTTCGTGATTTTTATCGATTCATCGAGTTGACGATTTGAGGATACCTTTCTCAAAGTGCCTATCATGCAAAAAAAAAAAAAGAAACCAATGAAACGTTTTCTTTATAATAAGAGATTACTCTCATATTAGCCAAAAGATATAAAATTTCAAAAAGACAAAATACAGTTTCGGGAGCTTTCGGCTTTGCGCCTTTATCAACCGTGCGCAAAGCCGAAAGCTCCCGAAACTGTATTTTGTCTTTTTGAAATTTTATATCTTTTGGCTAATATGAGAGTAAGGTTAATATCTCTTATTATATTCATAATGTCTCTCAAAACTGTGCTAAAAACCATTCAAGAAACGTTTTCTTCCAAAAAAAAAAGACAGATGGGACTCCTCAGAGACCACTGTAGCTGCAGTTTAATAACTCAGAAGTTGAGTCGCGCCTGAAGCCCTATATGCTAGTCAACTGGAAAGACCCAAAGGAGCCCGCCTAGGGCTCCCAGAGAATGGTGTAGGCCCCTCTGGGGTCACTGGCGGGCCAGTGCATACCGATCCTAACATTATTCATATCAATCGCTGAACGTTTCAAGGCGATCGTGCCGTCGGTGTAGCTATAGCCGAACATTTTAAGTTTTTTTTTCGAGGTGAGGTCAGTTG